TGCCGTTTTCACACTTAGGTGCAGGACAGTTGCTTTTTACAGATTTTTATCAACACAAAAATCTTGGAATTTTCGGGAACTAAGACGGTAATGTAATGTTACGGGTTGCAAATTATTTAAAACTGGTACAAACATCAAGAAATAGGAACATTTATCATTATTTCGAGGCGGACCTGATTCTATCTAATACTGAAAAAAGTTTTTTTACCGCACTCACATTTGCGCCCCCCGGAGCCTACGGCCCATTTACCCCTCCCTCTCCATCCACGCCATTGAACCGAATTTCTATTCCCTCGAAGGTTTTATTAAGGGTTGAAATTTTTGACAATTATTTCCAATTTTATATACACACTAGCCAACGTATTATGGGCCTCTTGTATATACATACATACATAAATATTATATGAACAATGGTTTAAAATGCGGTAATATTGTATTTGAGTTGATAAAGTAATTTGATAACCACTAACATTCGTGGGAAACTTAAAGTTAATTTGCCAGTTACCAACTTCTTATTTGTAGGTCACTTTACTTCTCACAGTTTACCAAACGAGACGAAGTTAAACGTTCAAATACACCCTGTATAAATTTGCATAGTGGACCAAGAACAAGTTTTCTTCATATCTTTTTTTTTTGTTCATTCTGGTTCTGTTCATTCAAATGGTTTAGATTTACACTAAAGCTTTGACCAACAAACCGTTTGTGCATAACGTAACACTAAAATAATTAAAAAAAACATAGAGTATGTCACAATAAATGAAATGTAAGGTTAGGTATGTTTTTTTAGATGTCTACGAAATCATGGGTTTGTAGCTTTTATTCTGACTATTTTGATGTTGTCCATCGAATCTTGGTTTGAGTCGGTCAGGTTATTTACACTCTATCATCATCATTAGTGTCATATAGCTTTAATTGTTAAGTCGCCATTGAAGGTGTTTTCAACAAGAAACGGTGAATTGTCAGTAAAAAGTAAAAGTAAAGTTTATATTTATCAATTTGATTGAAAAATGTCTCGCTTGATATGCTTTGTTACTTTTGCATTGGTGACATTACGTTTGGGACACCCTGTATATTTATCAAAGGTTCCTAATCCGAAAGCACCTGTACATTAACTGAATGTAAGCGTTTGACATAACTCTTTCGCCAAATTCAACGTGTTAAAGATGAATATCTGGGCACTAAAGTTTGTTAATTCAAAATCAGATAGCACAATCCGAACTTCCTGTTCGGTAACTTTCCCTGTTACCAACCTACAACAAGAATATATAGGGTACATGGAGAACAATGCTACCACACTGAGGCCCCCAAACTAACGGCTTCTGTCAGCCCGCCTACAATACGATGTGACACCTCTGACAGATTGCATCGTAAATAACGTTTCTTAACTTTAACAAGTGCACTCGGTGCTATTATTCAGATTAAAGAATTATATCACACACACATTGTCATTTGAGAAACAAGAACGCTGCTAAATTGCCCGCAGCGTTTCCGCATTGAAAAAAGGTCTCGTGATTTTTCGATCGACGTGTCTCTGCCGATTGTTCTAATTATCGCAGCCTCAAAAGATCATGTACAGTTAAAACAACTCGGTTGAATGACACTTAAAAGAATTAATAGTATATGCTGACAGAATGAACAACACCCATAAAACTTATGTCCTTTTGCTCCATATTGTCTTTGATCTTTCTTCAGGCATCTAAAACTTTTGGCTGGTATGTTACGTTTAACGACCAAAAAGCCATAGAATCGACCACAAGGCGTTGTAACTTTTAGGGTTTGTTCGCAATAAAAAATTCGCGCCTTTGCACATCATAAAAAGAAATAAATGAACGGAACAGGTTCTGGCTATCAAATAAAAACCGCAACGCGAATGTGTTGTAGTTCATTAGATATATTCAGCATCGCGTTGTGATAATCGGAAAATGATATTTTGCAAATCCCAAATAATTCTAAATTCATTACTCAGATTACACAATGAATTCGTCGCTTGTTTATATTATACTATTAAGTTACCGCATGTCTACCGCAATATGTCTGCTTTAACTGCCATTCGGAATGTGTTATGACATTTCACAACACAACCTGAGAAAACATAACGCGTTGCAAAAGTGAGATCTATTTGTCCCTCAATGAACCTTTTGATAGATGAAAAGGAAGAAAAAGCTTCCTATTTTTTATAGTTGACGAGTTTTTAATATACTTCCTAAAATGTATTATTGTAATTAATTTTACCTGCTACAAATAACCTCAAATTAATGAAGAAAGTATCGCACTTCTTAAAAAGTCCAACAAAAAGCAATCGTAAAAGATTTATCAAAATTGCGATTGTAATGAATATCAAAGTAGTCGTTAATGTATAAAAAGAAGCTTCGTTTCATTTTAATGCTACCCATATCTTGGTTATAAATAGATAAACATAAAATAATAATCAATAAGAAGGACGTAGCTATCAGAAATTTAGTCCAGCTGTCATATGATTGAAGTATTGCTAATTGAAATGCAATATAATTTACACAAATGTTGGATTTTTAAGGTTCCATTCCTAAAAAGGAACCAAAGAACCCTTATAGAATCATCACTTTGTCTGTCTCTCAAGACTCTTATTCTAAGGAACCCGTTGAGGTGACTCTATGAAGTTAGCCCCCCATTTTTTAGATGTTTTCTGTTGTTCCAGATTGTTCTAAATTGTTCTCGAGTTTAAAGTCGATAAACCGATAAACATGGCGGTAAAATAAAAAAAAACTGTTTTTTGAATTCAATTTTCTTTGTTGTTCTGGACTGTTCTAGTTATTGCTCCAAATTATTAAAAACCTCCGAAAAAAATAAAAAGATATAATAAGAAATACAGCTGTAGTTCTCCTGAAAGAAACTGAATATATAAACTAAAAATAAACCAAAAAAAAACTGAAATCGGCAAAATAACGCCGCTTTATTCTTTTTTGCCATACTTTTTTATTTATTTTTTTTTTTTCGGACGGCTTTAATAATTTGGAATAATGTTTAGAACAATTAGAACAATCCAGAACAACAAAGGAAATAGAATTTATGAAGTTTTTTTATTTTGCCGCCATGTTTATCGATTTATCGGCTTTAAACTCTGAAACAATTTAGAACAAATGTTTAACAATCTGGAACAACAAAAAACAACTTAAAAATCGAAAAATGAGGGGCTAACTTCACAGAGGCCGTTGAGGTTTCATGTTGAAATTGATATCAAATACTCTTGTCTGCAATCCTTCGAAGCTGTGAAAAAATTAAATTTCTAGGTCAACGCAATCAGTAGGATATTTTCCGTTGACCTAGAATCATGAAATTTGGCAAAAAACAATGTCTTACAGCACAAATAAAGGAAAAAATACGAAAATCGTACTGTAATATTGTAATTATACTATTTGGGGACTGATTTTGGAAGTAAACTTAAAATATACTCAGAAGAATTGAGACTCGATTCCCATGATGGGCTAACTTTTTACATACCTACAAGTTTGTACGGAACCCTCGGTGCGTGAGTTCATTGATAAATTAATCATTTCATACATATCAACACAAAATTCGAAATTTCTAGGGATATTTAGGTTTACAGTTGTTACTAATCGTAAAACTGTTCCATGTTAAGATTAGGAGTAAAATGTGAACATTCCAAATGTTAGTAGCATATGCATAAAGAGAAACCTTTATAATTACATTTAAATTTTTATTGTTCTTTAACGACACCAAGTAATGAAAGACACCTAATATATATACTTTTAATCCTCAACAACAAATTTCCTGAAAATTGCAAAGCACCTACCATTTATCCAACGTTAATTGATGGACCTTAGTTCTAATAAATTATCTCAAACTGCTTTATAAAGCGTCATTTTCGAACTTAAACGCATTTTTAAACATCTCGGTGACCATAATGGCTACTAATTCCTGCATATTAACATTTTATTATAATTAGGAAAGTGTTTCGTAAAAGAAAAAGATGAATCGTAACAACCGCTGACTCTATTAAATCTTAATAGCGATTTATCAACGAAATGCCTGCACCGCGAGTTCGCTTGCTTGATAAAACGTTAAGAAAATAAAATGAGAAATAAAAAGAGAGTCATTAACGCCCATACAGTCCGAGGGCAAGAAGCGAGCTACATACATTCAACTGCTAATCACTCGCACTTTTTGCATTTTATTTTTATTTCGTTTAATTGCATCTTAATCTAAAACTGCAATTTGTACCGTTATTAATAAGTACCACATTCAGAGTGCGTAAGCGTTAAATAGGTGAGTTTAATATGAGAAATTACTGTTTTAAGTTCCATTCGTCAAGGGAAAATACTGTAATTCCATTTTGTGAAGGGATTAATATTAACGTATTGTAATGTTCGTGGGTTTAACAAAATTTACTTCTAAAACTGATAACGACAAAACTATTTATTTACACTAATTATTAATATATCATTATTCACTGCGCTATTTATCTCACTGCTATCACTGTCAATTTATTTCTCGACTCAATTCTGCAACGGTCAATTTATTTCTCCTCTCGCTGCGATCGTCTCTTCCTTTAAATACTCTTTTGTTTACTTTCGGGAACCTTCTGGAAACATCCGGATAGTTTACTTTTCCTTTGAACTATTTAACTGCTTTCCCCGAACGCAGGTACGACACATACATTTACGATTACGGCGCACATGAAGAAAGGCGCCCGGGGTTAGTCGGCGAATCGATAAGCCGTTCACGCACACGTGTGTCTGATCGCACACAAACACACTCGTGCTCGCTACGGTATTATGGACCCAACAAAATGCTCAAAAAGTTCGTTCTAGCTATGTGCAGAAAAGGCAAACAAACCGTTTCTCGTCTTAAACTATCCATATGCAGTTACAAAAAAAAAAAACAAATTGGGCAATGCAGGAGGTCATAGCATGCCATAGGCAGTCTCGATAAATTTTTGTATCAACGTTTCTACAGAAGGAAAATAGAAGAAAAAATAGCGTTATGAATGAAAATTAACTCACCGAGATATCCAGAAAATTTGGCTTCACTGAGAAACCTGAAAAATAACAGAAACAATTGAAAATAAAATGTTGTATTTTACCTGCAAGATGTATATTTGGAATGGCTAAAATCATGAAACCTTATTTAAAACTTAGAATATATAAATGATTCAGCCAAAACAGTAAGCATAACTAAATGTAAATTTTGGAATTCTGTAGTCAACTAACTCAGAATCTTTATATCTTTGGTCTGTTCGCCTATCTATCTTTATATCACAGCCTTCTTCGCTTTTCATTTCATTCCCGAAGAGTGAAATGTGTACATAGTTTATTTACCCCATTGAACATTAGCAAAGCCTTCCCCTCTCCGGTGTTAGGGGCTGCCCAAGTCATCGGAATGCTAAGGAAAAGGACAAGAAAAAAGCAAGAATTTCGTAAAAACACATGTCACCCTACTACACTTTGGGGTAATTTTATATAATTTATATTCGACATTGGCAGCCCCCATGCATAACTTTTTTTGAGGTTTCCTGTTCATCATCATTATCATAAGGTCGTCAGTCCTCTGACTGGTTGGACACGCACCTCCACTTTTTCCTATCCTGAGCTAATCTTTGCATTTTCTTATAACTAGAACATCCCACATCCTTAACCTTAACTTCTCTTGATTCCTGTTTCTCCTTCTAATATGTCTCTAACTAGCCTTTCATACCTGAGAAGTCACTTTTGTCAGCTATTTCATATTAACTTTCATAATCACCGCTATTCATATAAAAATAAAAGTTAAACTACGAAATTCTTTTCATAACCAGAAATTTTACAATTTTATTAGATACACATGACTAGAACAGAAGGACATTTGTGGGGCCCCAAGAGTTGGCGGTCAAGTCGGCATCGTTTGGGTCACCTTAGATCCACCTCTTTTTGTTATAATTATAATTTTTTACCGAGGAGTTAAGAGAATCCAATTATTGAAAAAACCCTGTCTGTCTGTGTCTATCGGAGGCTTTTCAACACCACAGAGCTCTTATTAGTGTCTGAGCTAAATTCGTACTAAACCAGTTTTATTAATCGTTATGGCCAAATTGAAGCGACAAAAGGCTTAGTCGAAAATTACTCGCTGTTTGCCCAGTGCTTGGACTAGTTACCCTTTTAAGTCATTCTAGTTTGAAGTTTATCATTTAATTCTGTTTAATGTATTTTTTGCTCTTTTGCATGTTATTTCATTCATTTGAGTCTAAATCTCGTATTTATAACTTGTAACCCCTGTATAAAGCATAATCTGTCATTTTCCAACTTAATAATTTACTTTGACGTACTGAATTACTTGTTTCATATGAATATTTCATTTATGCAAATTAGATTCGTATTTGTTCAGGTGGACTTAAACTTCAACTTAAGTTTAACATTTCCTATATTTTTGTTAATTCATTCAATATTCCTAATGTTACATTATAATATTATACATTGACAAGCTGTATAATCAGTTCATTAAACTCATTCGATCATTTATTTTTTGTAAATAGGTACACAAATACGGACCTGCCATAACAGGTGTACAATACGTTATAACAGAAAAAACTATTTTCAAAATAAGACAAACTACCATACTTAGAAACTTTAATGAACTTTTGAAAAGATAAATATTAAGCTTTTTATAAGAAACTAAAACCATTTTCTATATATACTAGCGACCCGCCCCAGCATCGCACGGGTGCAATGCTGATACTAAATGTGTATATTTTTGTTTTGTTTAGATTATTATAGAGAAGGGGAAATCTTCAAAAGATACCCCCTGAATATAGTAAATATACTACAGAATGTCTTTAAATACAACATTCACAGTTTTTTTGTCATTAGACAACACAAACCGGCCGGCACCGCCGCAACCACTATGTTCCTGCATTTTAAATCTGTAATATCTTCGAAAATATTCATTTAAATTACATGTTGTAAAGGGCCATATTGATGTATATTAAATACATAATGTATTTAAAAGTACTTAATTGGATAAGTATTAATGCTGTATTGCTTAAAATCGCTTTGTAAATAAGCCATTATTTCTCGTAAAAAGTAAAGGATAAGAAATGGTTATTGTGGGTTATCCCTAAGAGATAGACATATACCATCCCGGGCTTTTTTGTAGACCCTTTTAAGATGTACAATATTGTAGTACATTATTTTGATCTATCTCGTAGGGTTCAGCCAGCGTTTGCAATGTAAGCGCAAAAAATGTGTCTATTTACGACATCACATTAGAAACTTCTGTTTTCCTACTATATTATGCATGTATTATACATATAAACCTTCCTCTTGAATCACTCTATCTTTTAAAAAAAACCGCATCAAAATCCGTTGCGTAGTTTTAATGATTTAAGCATATATAGGGACAGACAGCAGGAAAGCGACTTTGTTTTATACTATTTAATGACATACATTTTTAACGTTTCTATCCACGTTTTCTTTTCAATATTTTTGGGTCATTTACTCAGAAAAAATATCTAGTTGTAAGGAGCGCAAACCATCTCCAGAGTTACCTCCAGAAAAATTGCCAGAAATATGACATTTGAATTTTCCCTGTTATCTGAAACTACTACAACTAAAATCATAAAAAGAACAGAATTTTTAATAAAAAATTGGCATATCAAACGCCACAATAATCCGGCAATGTAGTAACCGTTCTGGAAACTAGGACGTATTTGAATATTAAGATGTTTAAATATCCATAATTTAAAAACATTTCTTGAAACAAGTTTAAATATTCAAGTAGCTAAATATTTTATTATTTAAAATTGCAAACATGTTGATATCTGGATACCCAATTGGATATTCAAATTTTTGATTTTACTGCTGTCAGCCTGTCAACAGACCAAACCAGAGTTTCTAGTAGGTCCTTCGTCTTATGTTACAGGAAATGTGTAGCGAAGATACTATGGTAAATTACATATTTATTAATAACTCCTTTTGATAAATTCGAAATGTTTTATTATAGACCCACTTGGCGGTTTTACTTTTTTTGTTAAAGTGCACAAACTCCTGAAGAAGCGCAAGAATCATTCGCTGGATAACAAAAAAACTTTTAGAACTGGATCCTGGCAGACATTACATTCTAATTGTAAGATTCATTATATCGAACCCCTAAGAGATTATCCCAACAGAGGAGGGTGGATACTTTTTTACTGTCAGGTCAGCGTTCGTAATTATTCCTTTGAAAATATCTTAAAATTCGCTAATGGTCTGGTTCCGGACGACATTGGCGAGTAGACCTTGTTAGTACACGTTGCGTCAAGCTGTCTGCGGACCTTTATTTTATTTTATTTTTTTATTTTTTTTTCGTTTATAAAGCGACTTCGATAACTGTTCGTCCGGGGGCCCCACTCTCGCGCCAAAGATAAATGTATTAGATGCGAGAAAGAAGGAGTCTCACCACACCATTACCATTTAGTATGGATCGGAAAGCGGTTATGTTCGCAGCGGCAATGTCCCTGGCGCTGGTCGCTGCTATTGGACAGCAGACTAGCAGCACGTACAGCTTGGGAAGTCATTTAGACCGGGGGCCGTTTACCACGAAAATACCGCCGATAAACGCGAAAGAAGACACTAACAGTGTTATCTATAATAATAATAATAATAATAATAATAATAATAATAAGGCTGACGAAGACGAGAGTGTAGGATTAAGTAGTGATTTGAATTTAAGTGCAATATTTAAGAATCCGGAGGCTCTTCAGAGACGTATAGAGATGAGCACCGAATTTTTCATCGTTCCGAAAACGCCCACGACCACGACCACAACTAAAACGAGCTCAACCACCAACAAATGTACAGATTGTGGCGCGGTTCCGGGGAGTAGCTCGGTTAATTTCGGTATACTTAGAAATGAGATTTGGGTTATCCCTCTGCTATCCTGTGCGGGATTGACTATGTTGCTTATAATTGCTTTCGAAATTTTCGTTTTGTGCAAAGCCCGGCAAACAATTCCTAGCAGGAGGCACTTGTTTTTGGGACAAATGTTGCTGTTGGGACTGTTCTTTGGGGCCACGGTTTCGGCAATAATAACCATGTCTCCTACGCAACTCACGTGCGCGGTGGTACGTTTTGGAACTGGGGTTGCGTACGCTATTATATTTTCGTCCCTCTTGGTGAAATGCATATTTCTCATAAGTTTGAATAGTGGCGTATATCTCCCTGCTTCGTACCAGGGCTTGCTATTATTTTTCGCCATCCTCGTCCAAATAGCCATCGGAATCCAATGGTTGTTCACCAATCCTCCGATTGTGGACACGGTAAATTTTGACAATGCGGTCGCGCCACAACTATCAGTAACTGCAGATGACATAGCCAGTTCGATGATAGTGCCCCTATGTCGCACCACGTACGTCAGTATGCTGTGGTCGTTGATCTACGTCATTTTCCTGATACTTTTCGTCACGCTGCTAGCATTTAAATCGAGAGGCATCTGCGATAATTACAGGGAAGCACAATTCATCGGTCTGTCGGTCGGTTGCAGTATACCGATGTGGTTGGTGTGGATCGCGAGCGGTTTCGTGGTCAATGAGAGGCACAAGGACGCATGTTTAGCATTCGGTCTCGTCGTTACTTCTATCGTCGTATTCCTCGTAATGTTCATGCCTAAAAGTCGTCAATTGGCCGCGATGGGCAAGGAAGGTCTCTACCTGGAGGATCGGGAGGAACGATTCAGCTCGCTCAGTCGAGCCGGATCAGGATATTCTCCCTCCTTTTACCACTTCAAACCGACCAAATATGGAGTCATAAGTCACAAACATCCGGCAGCCTCGCTATCCAGAGGTACGTATGCATAATATATACTTACAAAACCTACACATATGTACTATATAGTACATAAATGTCCCAACCAATCTGAAAAATTTGCCATTTTTAATACCACTAGGTAATTAAGAAAACAGCGTTGACCGAAAATACAACTTCTTTAAAAATCTCTAACATAAATATGTATCCCAAAAATCGCCATTTTTTAACTTTACATTCCAATGAAGCAGATATGTTGCTACTTAATAAATGTTATAAAGATGAAGTCAATTATTACATAAAATTTAAAGCAATTATCGCATAAAATATAAATAGGTCCCACTGCACTTTAAATTATCGTTTTACTGCAGTTATATATTCCACATTCCCCATCAAGACTACTTATGGAGTACGAACTCAAATGGAAGAATTGACAAAATATGTTCTTACAAAACGTACTTTTATTGATTTTTACTTTTCAAAGTTGTCTTTAATATCTAGCATTTTCATTTTAAATCAAGTAAATTATTTATTTTATAATCTCGAAGAACAAACTGCCTATATTCCCAGACTGACATTTCGGTACGTATGCACTCAAGTGGTCTAAATCCAGAGATCTAAACATGCCAAATCGATCTTGCTTTACAAAATTGATTTTCAAATGTAAACGGTCGAGCGGTATGGATAGTCGGTTAGTATACTAGCGAGCTTGAGTTCTAATCAGGACCGACGCCAGTTCTTTTTTCTTTTTTTATCTGAGTCACAATATCTAATACAAACGCAATATTTGACAATTCAGCTTATTAGTTAGCTTTCAAAGAATCACTTCTGCGCTCTGTTCTTATTGGTTGCGAAGACGTATTCTAAAATGCCGAATTTTACACATTGGCTTCGGAATATGTATATATTATATTACGTATATGTATGTATAAATACTTATACTTTATTATTATTGTTATCGCGGAACTGCATCAAGACGATGCCTTCGACATGTTAATGAGTGAACGGCTGGAATTTTAAACTGCAGCCTGCTGCGTGCGAGTGGCGCATTTTTATAATGTGCCAATAGATAGCCGCATCTTGGAAGGTCGAATCTTTTTATCTTTATACTTTAAACGCAACCCTTTTCTGTATCCATATACCTTCAGGTATCGTGTGGAGTATCCGCCAAGGATATGTGTGCTGCATGATACTTGTAAAATGCATTTTCTTATACATTACACGTATACCTAGTATAAAAATGTCTCAGGTTCTTTATGACAAGCTAACACTATGAAATCGTTTAGTTTTTCCCAATATTTATTAAATATTTTTACATTTTTATCCGCCAAGGGGCCGTTCGTAGAATATATTCGCAAACAGGGTACAGGCAGGGATATTGTTTAGCGTTTTATATTACGAAATATGATTTCTATAGTATATTTCGGTAAACGTGACGTTCGTAGTTCTTCACATTTACATTTATTTTTTTTGCTGGTAGATACAGAAGCTATTAAAATCATAGAAATTAACAGACCAGGAACGTCTCCACTACACGGAAAGAAAAATATTACAAAAATTAGCATGTTGTCTTATAATCCAGGTGCTTTTGACTGGTAATGGAAAAATTACCATGCCAGCACGGTAAAAATTTCTTATGCTTTCCAGTAAAGTTTATAAGGTTCTCCTATAAAAATTATTGGACAAATATTGAATATTGTCAACATATATGTCTCTTGCACTTACTTTGTAATGACGAACATGGTAGATTTTCCTCTCCGTGTAGAGATCGGCCGAGTTCTCGATTTGGATCCGATACCCGGCCGATCTTACACTCCTTTTAGGATCCGGCCGGGTCCCGAATAACGACACCGGGTACCCGACAGTGCCGGGTAATTCTACCAGAGAAGAAATTCAAAAACCAACACCAGGAATAATAATTTAATAATTAAAATTATATCAAGATAGGTCGTTTGTCCTAATTTGTATTATATATTGATTACTATACTAAATTATTTGTTATTTTGATATAGTTCTTGTGCTTATTTTTTTTCTTGTAAAAGAATACATCAGTTTGTCCCAACTGCTACAATTTCTGTCGCTTTATAGACTTTTAGTATTTATTAATGTTAGGCCTGTTTTAACGCTTTCAACTCAACCCCCCTGTTAAAATCCGCCAACCGTGAATTAAAATTTTATTGGTTCAGTGTTTAAGCGATTTTTTGAACGGGACTATGGTTTGGGCATTGGCGAGAGTGGTTGGTATTTAATGGAAAGTATTCGGGAGGACGGCAGTTCGATTTCAGGCCCGTTTGCCAAGGTCCAAGTTTTTCTGTGGTTTCCTTGGATCACTTAGGCAAATGCTGGGGCAATAATATTCCACAGATAATCTTTCATTCTCTTCTGTCTTCATTTCGTCTGTCTCATCTTTCGCACCCGAACCACCACCCACCCATTTCCACGATTCCTGAAAGGAGACTGAAGATGGCCATTTGCCGTACCTTCCGGCGTAAGCCGGAGGGACTGCCCGCCCACCAGCGTTACTGGCTGGTGGGAATGAAACACAAAAGTTTTTTTTGGATAACCGAGTACTCGGCAAAATCACTCCAGTTTCCACCTCTTTTGAAGTTCTTAATTAGCCATCACAGTTGAAATTCAGCTAAATTTCGAGACTAAATAATATTCTTTTTGATTAATATTGTGTTGCAAATTTCTGGTACCAGTTGCGTGAAAAGTGGATCAAAGAACTGCACCCTAACGTCAGACCACGATTAGTTTAAGTTAAATTAATAGAGAAACCGTTAAATGAGTTATTTCATCACATGTTCAGTGTCTAACGATCTACTTCAATAAATTATTATTTATTTAAATGAACGCACTGAAGGCAAGCTGTTGCTACAAATTATTTATTCACAGAACAGTTTTTGTCGTATGAATGTCAGAAATAGGATAGGTACCTATAAGGCATTTGTTACACTTTAAAAAAAGGTTTCAATTCGATTAAAATTTCAACAATTGTGCTGGTCAAATCAAAATTTGTTTTGGCCAATGGTCCCACGCTTTTTCATTACTGACATTTTAATGCAAATTACATTTAAATTGAATACTCTACTCAAAGCGTATCAAACAAATTCTATCTTAATTTTACTTTTTAAACTACTTCACGGTTTTATACCGTAATAAATGTGATTGCAAGCAACCTACATTAAATCGACTTTTAATAGTATGTTTTGGTTTTCTCAAAAATTAACCAATTGCTCAAAGTATTTAATCGTTTTGTAATACTCTATAACATTTTCATTTCTTGACGAAAATTAATAAATTTCCTCACCACAACGAGTTTGCACGTGAGTTTAATTAATAATAGGAAAACATGAAATTTTTAGAAAGTTTTGAAATTTGTCAATCATACCAGCATAAACCCAAAAAGACTTATTTAGTACGTGTGAAACTTCTCTGGTGCCTATAATAATTGCATATTTGCTTCTCTTCTACTAATATATTTCAATGAAGATACTTAAGCAAATTGAAGGGATGAAAACTTTTTACTTCTTTATATGACCATGTCAACGTTTCTCTTTACACTATTAAATCCTCATCAGTGTAAATTATGAAAGTTACAACCGTAACTCCGAGAAACTTTGATCATGATTTTCATAATCTATTGTAATCCGTGTATTTGCCTTAGTTTCCTCATTAATAATTATATAATTAATAAATAATTGTACTATGTATGTGAAAATATTTCAAAAATTGCTTGTGGTAATTAGGGGTAACTGTCATTTAGTTTAAATGCCTACCATTAAAAGCAATGTAGAACCATTACGAATTTTTGATCTGTTTTTGGATTCAACGGTAGGTATTCGATGAAAAAAAAATCAGTGTCTGTACCATATTATGGGTCGAAACAAATGGATCTTTTACGCCACTTATTAGTGGCCTTACAAAGCCAGTACCTAAATTAGTGTTACAACACACATCTGCTTCCGCTTCCGCAATTACAGAAGTTCCGCATACATTTTCACATCCGCTTCTGCATCTGGTTCCTCATTTTTATAACGGAAGTTTATCGGAACTAAACAATTTTAAACTTAAAACGTTTAAGACGTTCAGCTCCCCCTTAGCCAGTTCCCCCAATAATTTCATTTCAAAAATCCTAATACAGTTATAACATTTATTTACATTGTATATTGTTTGCCCAGTGGTGTCCATTTTAAATTAAAAGTGCAATTTTGAAGACAAAAAGAAATTTGAAATTGAAATTTGCTAAATGTAAAATTTGTAACAAAATATTCGCGAAAAGGGTGCATGACCACTACATTAAAAAGTTATCTAAAGTTATTACACTTCCGCTTTCGCATTCGGTTCCGCAAAAATTTAGTATTTACTTTTATTTCCGCTTCTGTTTCCGTTATGACACTTCCGTTGCATTCCTAACCTAGATCTAATCTTTTATTTTTGAGTGAAACATAAAATTGTTGTCATGAAAGTTTATTTCAGAAACATAAGTTAGGTTAAGTTAAGTCGAGTCAGGTTTAATTATTCACATATCACTTTTTTGCTGAGGAATGTACATTATCGAAAGACGAAAATTATTTAAATTCTCCCTCAAACTAGTAATTACTATGTACGAACATGAAATAAATGATACCATTGACAATAGGTTATTTCCGACACGCTGAGCTACGCCGTCGTGCTAATTAGGTAGAAAATATGCAAAAGTATTTCACGTCACAGCGGGTAAACCCAATTAACATTATAGGTTTATATCAAATATTACGAACTTGCATACACATAACTGTATCGCTTTTTGTTAGATGTCAATAGAAAAGTAGCCGTAATACAACATATGTTTTCCTTATTTATTATCATTATATCACAGATGTGATTTATTTGAAATGTAAATGTTCAAAATACAAATACAAAATGCAAATTTGTGTCTATTTATATTTTCTATTTTAAAAGGCTTGGCTATTACCGTGGTCGAATAAAGTTCAGTTATTCTAGCACAGTATTCATAAAATTACGATATTTTTAGTGTTACAACTTTCATAACAATT